TTTTTCGATTAGACTTTCAGTGATAATAGAATGTGTCCCATTACGTTAGTTCCTTATGCTGTTATGCTGCAATGTCCGCAAGCTTAACTGAAGGGTGGTTGCTAATCTGAACCACTGTTGCAGTTCAGTCATTGTAACTTTTAAATAATTTAATAGATAAGATATTTGTTACCTACTCATCAGATTTTGGAGATGATCAGTTTATCGTCTACCATAATTTTCCATTTATTTGCAGAAAAAGAATAAACGACATCATTAAATGGATATCATCAAGAAATTTGTAGCGAGATTCAGGACCGTTAAAACAAAAAAGCTCATTAACATTACAATATAGGTTCCATTAAAGTACAGAGATGCGGCAACTTTCTATAGCTGCAGTACCAAACGACATGAACATATGCTCGTACATATGCTTACTATGCTCGCTCTACCATACTTTTACGTTGGCTGCGAAGCAGTACGACATTTATTACATTCACTTAGGTAAATGACAGCTACAGAGTCCTAAATATTTTGATAACATTGTGAAATATCAGATGTGGCATAACTCTTCTGACGGCAGTAAAACAACCGATTTTGTCGGTGCACCATTTCAAGCACACGGAACAAAAATAGAAGGGTTATGCAGGTACAGATGAACTGGTCATTACACTTTAAGCTTACCGTCGCCACCGCAAAGGAGGCGAATTTGACTCGCTATATGGAAAAGTTGCTTTTATGACAGATTTGTTCGAAAATGATGCGTCTTTTGTGCACGAATAAGCGCCGCCATCATATTGCATTTAATACGTATTTTTATCCCTCGTTTTTCTGGTAATTTTGATGATAAATATTAAAAATATTTTTCTGACAGGTCAAAAAACTTCCATTTGAAGCGCAACTTAAGCAGAATTTCGATTAATTAAATTCTGAAAGATTCTACTCACTTGCTCAGCGTTTAAACGGACGATAAACCAATCGCGCTTGTCAAGTAGCAAAGCTTCAATTGAAGATCAAAGTCAGCATTAGGCAGGATTTAAATGAAACTGAAGAAGACGTAGGTAATATTTAATAAATATCTGACCTCGTTATCTGTTGAAGTCTATGGACTTAGACCTGAAGTGGTGCGAAAACAACGTCTACCTGATACAGCTAATCTTAATAGCAGAAAACTGATTCTACGAAACCAACGGAACGGTAAAAATAGCATAGAACAGTTTTGGATGTATGTGCTGCAATCTGGCCTACATGACCATAGTTTTTGACTGTTCATCATCGTCATGTTATGTTTATGAATGCAAATTTACGCCGAATTTTCTCGGCAATGTTGCATCTCCTGTCGTACGTCGATGAACCTTTGAAGATTAGTTGGGGTTAGTTGGCATCGAAAATACAGCGCTGCATTACCTGTTTCGAAATCATACCATTTGAGTCCGTACACCACTCGAACATCGTTCCGAGGGCCATTTTTGAAGCAGCTGCTAAGAGCGGACTTCCCGATAACCACCAGCTGGCAACGAACGAGGTTATTATCCGCTGTGATGAACCGTGTTTTCGCAGAATACATTACCACCCGAAAGAAGAGCTTTGAAACACCAAGCCGAATGTAGGTGCTATGTACCGATTACCCTTGATCAAATCAATAAGCGCATATCGACTACCAGAGAAAGGGTGACTGCAACAAGCAGTCTCATCTGACGTTGTACTCAACCATGACTACTACTGAACAGTTAACGGCAATCCTGCACTTCTTTCCGATGAGGCTGTTACTTGATTCAGCCTCGCTAAATGAATGAATGCAAAATCAGGCTCTAAATGATTCATATGGTGAAATATATTCTGTAAATGACGCCGCAGCACAGCGACCACAGCTCTGCTTCAAATTCCGTAGGTGTCGAGTTCGAATTCTGAGAAATAAATGAATTTTCTAAACCACTATTTTCTTTGAGCAAGGAAATCACTAATTGCTTGCTTGTCGTTGATCTGTGAATAAGGTAAACAGCATGGTATTCTGATGTGGTCGTAATTAAATGGGCGAAAGGTACGATCGCACTGTCCGATTATGGCGCCTATAAGGGCTGCGCTTTAAAGTATTTGATTGCTGACTATCCGACCTAACAATCAGCAACAGATTTAGCTACTGTCTGCAAACAATGCAGAAAGCAGCCGTGATATCAGAAACGGTACTGCCAAAATTACAATTCAAACTCCGGCAGTGATTATTCGCTATCATTGAGTGTTTGATTTGTTTCCACCGCAGGTTCTTCAGCAGCTTTCAAGAATGGAAAATAACCAGGTTTGTTAAGGATTACTAAGCCATCACATTTAAGTCTCTTCCGACGGCTGAAGCCGTTGGATCCTCGAATAGGATCCTGTTCAAGAAAATTTAAAGAATGCGTCAGGGGATCATAAAATCTGCTAAGAGATAGATTGCCAGAACAATGAAGATGCCGCTGTTATTAAAAACATGACCGACAGTAAAAGAATAAAAGCGGCTTACCGCGCTTACTAGTAAAATGTCAATGCACATTATGAAGAACATAGAATAGAAGGGTTGACGAACTATTCCATGCATCAGATTTTTATCTTATGCCACGTCGTGGTGCACAATTAACTGTAACGAAGTGCTCCGTGAATCATGATTTTCAAAGTTCTCACGATCTTTTAATCAGCGAATGGTTGACGAATATACCTGAGTTTTGAATGATTGTCAATTGTAAACAATCAGACAACCAAATGATTCCGCGAAACACCGCGACATTTCTTGAAAAGTTTGCAAATGTCGCAGAGGTAAGGTCATTTCGTGAACATGTTCGTGTTTATCTATTTATTCGGTTACTGCTGGTTCATGCTTTAGCAGATATTCTTCAGTAGTCTAGCGGATTGATTATAATAATCGTTTTTAAAACTGAACTTTTTTCATGGTTCGCTATTATCAGATGTGAGTTCATTACGGATCCTGCTCTAGATGCAATAGTTGTGAAACGTGAAAACGAATTAAATTTTTAGCCAACTCAATGAAAGGATCTATTTAAATAAGCCAATATTTGTCGACTTTAATACGAAACAAATTCGTGCGTTCATTTGGAAATTTTTTTGAAGACTATCTACAACCTTAGAAAGAAGTAATTTATTCTTCATTTTCGTGCATTCTTGTTCGTTTTATTACAGTCTGAATCAACCACCTTGTACTATTTACGATTATATCAATTTCTCAAAACAAAACTTTTTTCTTCCTCACAAACAATTAGCCATCATGAAATGAAGTCTATTGCACAAATTGCTCAGAGTTCAATCTGACAGTGCATTCACTGATTATGTCTTAAATGATTTAAATGATTGAATCATTGTTTTATATACAGCGTTTAAATTTCATGGTAGCTGATATTCTACGAAGGAAGTTCCAAGGAATTCCAGGCAATGATTTTAATTAAGATTTGCATATACTGGGTTATCAGACTTATTCTTGTTATGAGTGTGCCATATGGGCGAGTCGAAGATCTTCAAACAGTTTCCATTTTTCGCTTTATGAACCGCTGACAGAGTAATTGGACCGTTGGGTCATCCTAGCGGGAACGAACATTTCGATTTTGTCGTCCAGAGAAACTCAATTTGCAATGCCTGACGTTTACCGGTTGCCATCATTCAGGCCAGCGTAACTGGTGGATTTGCGAGTAGAAAGCAGAAACTGTCTGCCAATGCTGTCAGGCGTCGCCTTTGTACGTTCGTAAGGTGATCACAAAGGGAGACCGTAAAAATTTTTTACTCCCTTATTCTTTGCGTGCTCATCAATTTGTTCTTGTTGACTTTAAAAGCAGGTCAGCATTCAGAGCCGTAGGTTTCGGCCAGTAGGATGGTGAATGGAATAGCGGTTTCTTCGTTAGCACAGGCGTTCATTTTCGAACAGTGATGGTTTAGTACCATTTAGGCTTGTCCAATCTTACCCAGTCCAATTGTCACCTTATTTGTTAGGTTTATTTCGTCGGATGATTAGCTGATGGCTAAGGTAGGCATAGGTTTAAATTTCTTCAAGTCATATATATGTATATATATAGTCGCATAAAATAGTCTTTAATTAGGGACATCTGACGTTTCGGATCAAGTTCGGTGCGTCTTATATATATTATCTTTAGATTTAGAAAATTAACTGTCATTCTACATCATTGACTCAGAGCTGTTCTGCTTTCTGATTCAAAGATTTTTGACTCTAAACAAAAGCTAATGTTACGAACCTAACCTGTATTAAAGAGTTTTCAATGTTTCATACAACAGTGGCCTTGACCCATCTGGCAGCGACTAAAATTAAATCTAAATTAAATTCAAATCAAAGGTAATGCTCTAGAATATCAGGCAGTGCAATTAAATTACAGTTATTTCGCTAGTTCTACATTTTCTGGTACTGCAGTAACATTTTCCGTTATTCATTATTCGTCAAAATGTTTGCTTGTAGTGCAGCCTGCCAGAATCCGAGAATTACATCAGAGCATTCTTCCATCTGCTGACATGGTTGACGATTGTCGAAACAAAATTAAACGAATAACAAGCCGCTGCTTTCTAACGTCCATACCGATTATTCTTGATATTTACCGATGTCGGTATGGTAGAAACATTGAAATTCTTGCAATATTTCCGTGTTTCTCGTGCTTCCCCTCCATGAAATCAGAAGACCTATCACATCCTGTTCGATTTTTATTCTGTTTTATCTTTATCTCAATAAATAATGTATCATTGAATCATAATTCAAGCGGTAAATTTTCGAATCCACGTGATACATGCATTCACATCTGATATGTTACATGATTCAGCCGTCTACTTTGATGTACTTTTCCATAATATAGTTTATGCATATTTGTCAACTGTTGCAGGTTTAGAAAGCTGTTTACTCCACTGTCCCATACCGTTGATTGCTTGTATTTGAGCGCCAGCGGTATTTGTTTTTG